CCAAAGTGCCATGATCTCATTGGTCAAACAGCCAGTGTTTACAGACAAAGAGATTTGATTGGTCAATGTTGCTGTCAATCACCAAAGTGCCATGATCTCATTGGTCAAACAGCCAGTGTTTACAGACAGAGGGATTTTATTGGTCAGAGTCACTGTCAATCACAACAAACCTTGTGGGCGCTAGGATTTATTTTTTCCTAGATAAAACTCGCTTGTCTCTGGAGTAAGTAAACTAAAGTTGTTAATTTCATTGATTTACAAATGTTCGCCTCGTTATTTAGGTAGAATTTAAACGAGGCATTAAAACGGTGTCCATACAACATGACTATAAAGCTCAAATTAAAACCGGAAATCGATAAATAGAGCTTGTTTTTCCCCACAACCTTTCCTCCAATGGCTTTTTTAGCCAGTACTGGAAATTATTATTTGGACAATAAAATAATTGTTGGCATGTTTGGACTGTACTACTTTTCCTTAATTCAATGTTTTATGTCAGTGTACTTTATTAATATTCAGTTTTATTTTTATTTATTTATTTATTTTTACATTGGAGATTTTCAAAAATTACCTGGACTCATTTAACATCTTACCTCCCCATCAATCTGGTTTCAGGAAACAACACAGCACAACCACTGCTTCACTGAAGGTTCTTAATGACGTTGTTGAAGCACTGGATGCTAAGAATTATTGTGCTGCAATTTTCTTAGACCTGTCTAAAGCTTTTGACACTGTGGATCATAACATCTTGTGTCATAAACTCTCAGAAATTGGTTTCTCAGAACACACCATTGGTTGGTTCTCTAACTATCTTTCAGACCGGCGGCAATGTGTTCAACATAATGGTACTTCCTCCAGTTATTTAACAGTCAACAATGGTGTACCACAAGGCTCAGTCTTAGGACCCACCCTCTTTACAGTCTACACACATAATGTAGGTAAAAACATCCCTAATGCATCCATACATTTCTATGCTGATGACACAGTTGTTTACTGTCGAGCTAAAACAGTTATTAAAGCTTTCCAGCTTTTGCAATCTGCATTTTACATCATCCAGACAGATTTGTTCCATCTCAAACTTGTCCTAAATGCCGACAAAACCAAAGGGATGCTTTTTTCAAACAGGAAGTCAGTCCCAGCAGTTCTTCCTCTGATTTTATGCAGACATGTTCCTGTTTTTAGTTTTCTACATTCGCCTTATAATCTAGCTGTTTTTGCTACTTTTTTAGCCATCTTATTTGTAAAAAAAAAAAAAAAATCTGTATGCCTTTTTTATAACTGTCTTGTTGTCACTGTTGTCACTGTTGTCATCATTCTTTGTTGAAATCAGGTCTCTTATAAATGAGTCCTCGAGGCTCAATGGGATTAACCTGTCTAAATAAAGGTTGAATGAAAAATTTTGAGCTTTATAAAAGTTATATTTAGATTTATAAAGTGTGTTTATTGTCTCTATAAAACAGTCTCCTCTTGTAGGCTGGACTTTATAATTGAAATTCGGGCAAAAAAGACAACAGTATGAAATAAATGAGTGCAAACCTGCAAAAATGTTTTTAATTAGTGTAAAATAAAACAATGAATTCCTCTCTGATTTTCTTGTGCTTCGTTCCAGTCATACCTCGTACTTGTCATACTTGTCATATAAAAACTTAGATTTTGAAAGTCAGTCTGTCCATAACTTGGTCCATATGTTGACATTTTTCGCAGCAATGCCTCTGCAAGAAACAACGTACATTCAAAAGGTTTAAATTGCAGAAATCCAGTTGTATTTTCAGAAAAATCACTTAAAATAAATCATTTTTATTCTTGTCTTCAAATCGTGTGCAGAATTATACGTTTTCTAACAGAAGTAAGAAAAAATAATCACCTAAGCGTCTACAGTTCCCAAGCTAATAAAACGTTTTGTGAGCATTTTAAAAAGTGTATAATTGTTTAATAAAGAAGTTGTTAGGTGTTTCTTTTAGACACATACCTGTAGTACTAAACACTAAACCTTTTCTAGCCAAAGGGATGTATAAAAACAAATTAATTCCAGCAGTTTTCAACCAGTTGAAAGAAAAAAACACAGTCAAGAGACAATCTTTGTACTGGGGTCATCGTTCTGTTGCGTGATGCACCTCGCTGCTTCAAAGTGAACTCTTTAGTAGTTTCTTCTATTTTTGCAGGCGCTTCAAAGAGCCGCCCAGGTTGCTGTGGTTACACGAAGAACGTCTGGGCTCGCAGCTTTGCTCAGGTAAACAGGAAGCTTCAAAGATCCGCTGCAGAAACTACTATTATTGTTTTCTGCAGCCCACAGCAGCAGCATCTTTTAATGAGACAATTAAAATGATTTCTTGGACAGGAGAGGTGCAGGCCATTATGCTGAAGTCTTACAAACTCTTTGAACCGCGATGGCAACACTTTTCATGTTAATTAATTGGTCACACGGGGATCTGTACAGCACCGAGGAGGTCCACAGTTTATGTATATAGTCTGTAATCATCAACACTGATATCAATAAACTAGAGCTTCTTAATAAAGCAGAGCTGTGCTGTAATTCAGGCACGGGTTATGAAATGTTTGGCCTCATTGTTCACTGCAACAACAGCAACAGTCTGTTTACAATATTTAATTAACGACCAACCGTTCCCTGAAGGGAAGCAGAGATTAAACTCAAATCATCGTATGGTGATGAGGAAAAATGGAGTTGGGAGTCGTGTTGGTCAAACCTCGTTGATGTTGTGAAGCGTAACATCACTCAGAGAATGTTGTGAACGACTCAGCCCCAAACAATTAATAATAATAGCTCAGTATCTGCAACATTGACTGAGTTATAGCAGTTTCTGTGTTGGTTGGGGTCAGTTAGCTGTGGCAGCCATCTTAAAGTTCAAGTTTTTTTTAATTAATCCAATGATTACTTTCTGGGAGTGTCTCCAAAATCTGTGCTCAGATTCATGAGATATTTTGCTAACGGACAAACAGTCAACACCGCCATCCACTGTGCTAAGGTGCTATTTATAAGACAGAGTTTAGTGCAACTCCTCAGACTGACCAAGTTCCTGAATTAAAGACAAAAAGTTTCAACTTAAAAAAAAAAAAACTCCAGAGGACTGACTTGACTTTGTTAGAGTTAACACCAAAGGCTGACTGTACTTTTAAAGAACCTTTCTATCTAGTGGAGACACTCAAAGCTCTTTACAACACGATGTGTGCCCTCATCTACACATTCATGCTAGGTCCAAAGCTAGTCTGAATCTGTAGAGACTAATCAGAGCTTTGTCATTCATACACAAGGGAGTGGTGGCGCAGAGGTTAGAGAAGGTGGGCCTGTGATTGGAAGATCCATGGTTCAAGCCCCAATACTGCCAACATCAAAAAAATGTGGGTGGGGTAGGTGAAGCACCCACACCTGCCCCCAACCTCATTCGCCCCACTCTGGGCCCATGAGCAAGGCCCTTAACCACCATCTGCTCCCTAAACAGGTCTTTCATGAAAATGAGTTCTCATGGCTCAATGAGACTACCCCTATAAATAAAGGATAACTAAAATAAAATTTAAAAAAATTCATACACCGATGGGACACACATCAGAGGCAATGAGGGGTTCAGTGTCTTGCCCAGGGGCACTTCAACATGTGACTACTGGTGGATTCAAACTCCCAACTCTCCCATAGGAGGACGACTGCTCTAACCACTCAGCCACAGCTGCCCCAAAGTGTGTGTATTATCAGAATATGCATTATGGATGACTTCCATCTACTACCACACAGTTTTATCTTCACATCTGTACAGTTGGTTGAGTTAGGTCATTTTCACACCAGATAGTCCGGTAGACTCGGTTCGGTTCGGAACCAGTATTCATGACCTTTTGTTTACATTTGAGCTGGTGCGTTTGCATTCACACTGCACTGTGCAGTCGAGTCAACCTGTTGAACCAACCTGTTCCCCCGCTCGCCTGTGGGGGCGCTGCACCAAGAACTACTGAAAGAAACGACACAAAAACCTCTGAAGACACGTCTTCTTCTTCTTCTGTAAATAAAAATAAAAATGGAGTGGCATCAAGTTTTAGCAGTTTTAGGAGTTATATTTTGTTATTTTTCAAAAATGGACTCAGCGTGAGCAGAAGATGAGACAGAAGACCATGGAGAATATTGTTTTTCACACAAGGCAGCTGACGGCTCCATATGAGGTCAGAGAAATGCGTGTTTGTTTGTCCTGCGCTGTACTGCACTTCTTGCTTGTGGAGCGGGTCCGGTCTGATTGCATTCACACTGCACTCGAACCGCGCTGGAGTTCTCTTCTACCGGACCCAGACCTAGGTTTTAGCCCCGGCCAGAGTTCGCCTTTTTGTTCCGTGACAGAGTTCGATGGCGCGTTCACACGAGCCGGACTTTCTAGGAAAACGAGCTAGAGTTCGATTAAAGTGGACTAAACAGGGCTGGTGTGAATGCACCCTTAGAGTCAGTTTGATGTTTTCTAAGGGCGATTGGCTTCTGTGGCCATTTTGAATCACGTTGACTTCAACAACCAAACAAGTGACAAACATAGAAACACATCTGGTGTAGCATTCAGAGTTTGTGTTTAATTGTTCTCAGCTACTACCACACCAGACAGCATGGTGGCGCAACTGGTAGAGCTGCTGCCTCTCAGTGAGCAGGTCCCTGGTTCAAATCCCGGTCTGGGTGCTTTTCTGGGTGGAGTTTGCATGTTCTCTCCGTGCATGCGTGGGTTTTCTCCTGGGTACTCCAGTTTCCTCCCACAGACCAAAAACATTCATGTTAGGCTGATTGGTATGATGATACCAAGGCTGATTGAGTGAGAGTGAATGGTTGTTTGTCTCTGTGTGTCCCTGTGATGGACTGGAGACCTGTCCAGGGTGTACCCCGCCCC